AATGAAGTCAGAAAAAAGAAATGATTAGACTTGAGAACTGAAGAGAGGAATGGGCTGTATGAGTTTAAGATTACACCCATTTCGTAAAATCATTACCATGAAATAGGCAAATGAGGCGGCTAAAATTTTGATAAATGTCCAGAGAAAGTTTAAAATTAGGGTAGAGAATGAGAGAAGAATTCAATGAATTAGGGGATGAATCAGGTAGTTCCGTGCATAAATCATATATTCTTACACAATCAATCAAAAAAGGAGCTGAGAAATGGTTTAACCGAAAATAATGGACAAACTGTATGGCATTTAGTTGAAAACAAAAAAATAATAATAATAAATAAAACAAAAAACAAAACAAAACAAAAAAAAACACATGACGAAATATTTGAGCGACACGTAGTGCTTCTGTCTTTTATTTATGTAGGGACTAGGCCAGCTGGTGAATGAAGTTTTAGGTTTCTCAGACAGTAAATCTGGCTAATGATGGCAAAGATTTCGCTAGGGCAACTGCCATGCTGTTGATGTGCAATGATAGTATTTTATTTTACATTTTTATAAATAATTAGTGTACATTTCATGACTTTGATTCCTTGCATATCATTTGTCAACACCAAAAGAAGGAGGTAATAGACGAGCTTATTTCAAGGGGTTAGATATAGTGACCATTCACCTGAAATTGACACAAGTCTTTATTACAAAATTAGAAAATTAGAAAAAGGAAAGTTACTATCAATGAAGTGGTTATTTTGAAGACCTACTTTTTAAAAAATCTTTACGCATTAATACTGCTAGTACTTGTTGAGATATTAGTTATATCTTCTAGACATTATTCTGAGAATTTGTCGGCCTTCTTTTTTTTAGGGTATCACTATTTACATCCACACCTTTAAAAAGATAATTATATTATATTTTTAATCTTATGTTAATTTACTTACATAAACATATATGAAATTAAAATAAAAATATGTCATTCTAAATTCATCCACTAATATTTATTTTCATTAAATTCTTTTGGATCTTTTTATATTCTTTTAGAATTTGTGTTTAACAAAAACTTTAGTAATTAAAAATATTATCTTCATATTTTATGGAAATTAGCAGTTTTTTTTTTTTTTTAAGTAGTAGGATTTTAAATTATATGTAACAAAATAAAAGTCAATTGAAGGTAAGGAATATAAATTAGACAATAATATTACGATTTCTATATCTCTAATTGGGTTACCTCCAATAAAATTACAATTTATATATCTCTAATCCTTTCATTTTATTTCCATGAAATTCTCTCTAATCGTTATATTGACTAATTCCTTCTATTCTTTACCTTCAATTGACTTTTATTTTAATTTATTTTATTATGTACAATTTAAAATATATTAATTACTTCTTTCCAAAAAATTTAAAAATAAAAAAATACTAATTTTTTTATGAAATGGATTGTATAATTTTATGTATTGAGTCCATGTCACGTTGACGGTAGCAGTAATTATACGGGTTTATGGTTCGTAGAATCCTATCTTATAATATTTGATCTGTAGAATTAATTATTAAATTGTGAGAAGGCAGATGTTATATGTAATGGGGATGAATATAGTGATTTTTAAAAAAAATTGAAATTGTATTAAGGATGTATTTAGAGTGGGATGAATATATAAAATTTGAGTGGATCTATAGTGTTTAAATAAATGAATGAGTTTAATAAAGATAAAATTGGAATGCGACGTGTACGAAAATAGTAGTTTTTTAAAATTTTATAATTTTAATATGAATAAATATAGAGTGTGATGAATATATAACTATCGTGAACATAAACAGCGGCCCTTTTCATTATAACCACCCGTGGAATTTTTTGTTGATTAATAGTATATAGTTTAAGAGGAAACGCAGTCAAACTTTCAGAATAATAAAATTACCAATGAAACATAAAATCAAATATGAGACCTAAGTTTTATATGTTCAAATCACGTTTCTTATCACCGTGCACCTGAAATTGACAGGCTCATGACATCCATCTTATCTAGACCATATTTATTGTTGAGAGTAAAATTCAATATCACTTGAATAAAAAATAATAATTATAAGAATAAAATTTAATGTCTCAACGTTGAAAGTCATTCAACATTTCGTATATATAAAAACATAATTGTGAGGGTTTGATCTAATTCTCTTAAAAGGGCTAATTTCTTAATATGAAACTTCAAATCTCAACATGATTTTAGAGTTTGGAAAGCTCGAATGAAACAAGCTGATGAATTTTAAATGGTATTCTTAAATAAGTCTTTGATTCGAGGGATCGTGTTATTAAGAGTAAAATTTAAGTTTGCTTAAATATAAAATATAATTCACATATATAATTAAGACTTGATTTTAAGATAGAACTTTAAATCTCAATAAACGTGCATATTGGGGCAAAAGTGTCTTAAGAATTCAAAATAGTAAGTTAATATTTAGTAAGTTTTCATGGTACATCCCCAAGATAGCAACCATTTCGTTCATAATTCAAACAAAAATGAAGTGACAATGAAAATTTTAATTGGCATCTAACAAAAGGTTGGATTAGGTGGTGACAATTGCTTCCATGTTATAATATCATGGACAAAGTATATAAAAATATTCACTCAAATATACATATACTCTCTCTCTCTCTCTCTCTCTCTCTCTCTCTCTCTCTCTCTCTCTCTCTCTCTCTCTCACACACACACACACACACACAGAGAGTTATACGTTACAGTTTATTAATTACACATATCTTTGACAAAGAACCAATTTGACTTTGGATGAAATGGTGATTTTTCCTCAACACATTGATATCTTGCTTACTTGTTTTGTACACGTAGTGTCCTATATGAACTTCCAATATTACAAGAAAACGCAATAAATTATGGTTCTAGAGACCTCTCTTAATGCTTTGCTAATTAATTGAAATGATAGTTAATAGTCAATCTCTTGTTAGAAAAGGTACGAATTCTACCTACTCAGTAAGGAAATACTGTCACTCGAGGCTTCCTTTCAATTTTCTTACTTTGTTTTATTATCTAAGTCTTCATTTGTTCAAATCTCTTTACTTTATACGTATTTAGGACTAGTTCTTCCAATTTTATTATATGATAATTTGTTATTCCCCCGGTGTCCCACTAAAACATATTGAATGGAGTTGTATGTAATTAGCCTCAATGACAATCATTAAAACCTATGATGAAATAGAACAAGTCGAGAATATATCTAATATGAATTTGAATCGGGAGTAGAATTGCTTCCAGACAATAGATGCTGGCCCTCTCAACAAAATTGTTTAACATCCGAAATTTCTTTATTTAACAGCATGTTTGGGAAGCGTTTATAAATGAATTATAAATAGATAGGAATGAACAGTTCATAAGTAGTTAATACTTGTAAATTTCTCGAGATATATGATTAAAAAGTGGTTTGAGTATTTATCAACAGTTTATGAACATGAGTCAAACATAGACTAAGAGGGTATTTGGGAGTGATTTTTCAGTCTAAAAAATTGATTTTTTAACCTTTATTTTATTATTCCAACTGTAAAGTTTGACTTCTTCTCTTACAAGTGACCTCCACTTTTCTTCTAACGGTTAAAAAATTAATTCTCAAAATCGCTCACAAACGGGGCCTAAGATGAGTTTCATTAGTCCTTCATCAATATCCAAATATAAGCCAAATGTGACTAACCTTGTGTATGAGTGAGAGGACGAGGGTTCATACAAGTTAATGATAAGTAACAATAATTAAGAATAACATAATTTGAAATGTTCTCTTGAAGTACATCTTATTTAATATAACTAATTATAATTAATGTAAAAAAATTACATGTTTTGAACTTCTATTCATTTTATTATAACCGAATCCATCTTGTTCATCGATTCTCAAAACAACTTTCTGTTTGTCAATCTAAAATAATGTAGCTTGAAGAATACAAGATCGTTTCTCCCATTTAAAAATATTGTCATGGTCAAATTAGTTATTTTTCCCTAACCAGAAGCAATTATATGCTTAGTTCCGACTCAACCAACCAAAGGCTATGATTCACCACCTTGTACAGATCACCACCTGCTCTTTGAATTTTAAGATAAAATTTCGATTAAACAAGTATAAGATGCCCTTCATGATGCTTACGTTAAATGAAATAATTATAATATCTAATATAGTCTAATTCAATGTACCGAAAACATCATTAATGAAGACGATAACATGTTAAACTTAATCACTCTAAAATTCACTTTTAGGAATGATATTGCCAAGAAAATGAATCCAAATTATCTGGACAGTGAATCGAGATTGACTAACATCGACCACACGGGATCTCCTCTGATCATCAATGAAGCAATCCTTCTCTAACAGTGGCTACTGATGGCTATCTGTCGTTGTTCGTCCCCCGCGGTCTCCCTCGTCCTCTCTTACTCACAGAGCCCAAATCATGACTTAATATTTTGGAGAACAGTTTCTTAGCAAGAAAATTTTAAAAGTACTAGCTACCGCAGAGTGGTTGGTCAGTGGAGGTCCAAAGGTAAGGCTAATTATATATTTGGATATCGTTACATCCACCAATTGACAATTTAAATATATGGATGCTTATCCATGATCATATATAAGTAAAAAACTGCAATAAAAGAATAAAAGAAATTAAAATCAATGTGAACAATAAAATGCTTTTTCTAAATTTTAAGGTTTCCTGATCCAAAAATTTTGGCGAGTTGTTAATAAATTTTGATGTAATTGCACGGAAATGGAAAACAGTTGAAATATTGACTTCTCCAAATTGTTTTTATTTGTCTTTTCTATTAGCCTGTAAAAAAAACCTCAAATGAATGTCAAAAAGTTGCCAATTATTACTAGAAAGAAAAACACAACCTATTAAGATAAATTAAAGCCAACAGTTGAAAATCTTAGAAACCCGTAGGATTTTATATTTTTATTTTAATTATATTCATGTATACCTGCAGACCAAGTTGTACTGCAAGATCATACAAAATCGATACTCGTGACGAATATTAGAAAAATAACGGAAAAATCCACTGCAGTTTGAGTAAAATGAGAAGAAAATAGCATTCAGATGCCATGCATCCTCTCTTTCTGTACATACAGATATTCAAGGCAAATCTACAGGTTATCTATGTGCAGGATGATAACTACTTTGAATGGATAGTTTACAGATACACATAAATGTCTATGGACAGTGTATGTATATGCTGTTAAATTAAAAGGGAAACCAACAAAAAAAAATAATAATAATAATGAACAAAACTCACAAAAATGGAAGGCACAAACTCCAAACCTTTATGCATATATAGTGTCTAAATATTAAGCAATCTCATGAAATAGAGGGTAATCCAGAAGTCCAGACCACAATGGAGCTCCTTCATAGCTAGATGGACTACAAGCATCGGCAGTATTAGTATTGGAAGTCTCAGTCATCGGTGGGGCTGCGGCGGCTGCGGATGGAGATGGAGAAATAGTTGGAGGAAGCCATGGGGAAGAGTGTGAATTTTCTCCTTGATTAAGAACACCAAAATGAGAACCGGCGTGAACCATGTCCCTGTTTAAAGAAGTCTGAAGACTGCATGGGGCCTGTAAATCAGGCATGTGGGAGAAAGGGATTGAATCAATAATTGCCTGGAAATTTGTATTGTTATTGGCAAGAGAGGGGAGTGGGGTAGGTAGTTCCAGGTAGGGTGTGTTTAACACCATGTTTGGATTAATGGCGTTTAGATTATTTTGGAAATTAGCTGCCATGGAAGATGGAGGTTGAAGAAGACCCTGCAAATATTGATTCAGTCGGGCCATTTGGACAGCTTCAGTCTGAAATCTGATGGCCTGATCCTCCCATGAAGGGTTTTCGATGACTTCTTTGAGGTTGGCCAGGGCTATGAGATGAGGCAAGCTCGAAAAAATTTCAGTTCGTGGCCGATGAGTCATTGGATCAAATCCCATCTGAATCAACTTCTTCTTCAGATGAGTGTTCCAGAAATTTTTTATCTCATTATCTGTCCTTCCAGGCAGGTGTGTTGCAATTGCAGACCATTTGTTCAAAAAAAAGAAAAAAAAAAATTATAATAAATAAAGATGGAGATAAATTAATATTCCTCCAAATTATTCAAGCTAGGAGCAAAAATTACTTGTTTCCTAGGATGGCATGGAGATTGAGAATTGTCTGCTCCTCTTCTTGAGAAAATTTTCCTCTTTTGATATCGGGTCTCAAATAATTTGTCCAACGGAGCCTGCAACTCTTTCCACATCTGTTAAGACCTGTAAATACCACAGACGTAAACACACTCATTAGAAAATTCTACTAGGCCGGGTGGGATAAGAGGTAACCTACCAGCAAGTTTGGGGAGGGCTCTCCAGCTGCCATGGCCATGTTTTTGGATATGTTTGATGAGTTTGTCATCTTCTTCAGGGGTCCAAGGACCTTTCTTGAGGCCACTTTCATCACAGCAAGGGGACCTTCCCATTGTTTTCTGGCCCTCTAATAGTTACTTACTATAGATTTCCTTATGATTTGGTTGCCTCCTTAAAATCATAACAAATAAGCCAAGGCCCTGGGGATTATATATAATGCTCTCCTTCCCTTTGTCCTTATGTTGTATGCCTGTGGGACATGTCTTACGTGGGTGTGCCAACGAAACTTTTATTCTTGATATTACATAAATGTCCTTTCCTATTTTTTAATGTGATAATGCTTGGGAATTGTTTATAAGTGGTATATATTATAGACAAATAAAAATGAGCAACGGATAAGTGGATGGTAAGTGTAAGTCTCACAAAATATGTAAATAAAAAATGACTTGATCATTTATGAACAAATTATAAACGACAGCCAAACATGGGGGATTTGGTCGATAGGTTTATCTTTTTTAACTGAATATGTATTGATTTTCAGATATGATATTTAAAGTCTGATCCAATAATATTGCTCTCATAATAATTCATTTTTATCAATGAATAATGCCTTTCTCATGATATAAAGAGTTGGGAGAACTATATTTGTTCAATTTCTTTAATCTGATCACCGAATTAAAAGGCTTTCGCTAGCAATTAGAAACAATATTGCTCCGTAGGATTATATTAAATTACTGTTTTCTGTAAAACTTAGTGTTTGCTTGGTTAAGCTTTTTAATGATTATAAGTCATGAGTATCAAATAATGTGTGGTAAAAAATTCGATAAAAGTTGTGATTCTTAAGGAATTGTGATTATAAATGATGTTTGATCAACTTATAAGCACTTAAAAGATTTTCCAAACATACCCTTAAAAAATTAAATCTAATTTAAAAGGTATTCAAAAATCAAAAAAGTAATTTCAAATACCTACCTAAGCTGTAGGATTTTTACCGATTTATGTTAAGGAAATTACAGAGGACTTAAAAGCATTGAATATAACTTGGAAGAAGAAATTGTAAAATAACATCCTTCGAAAAAGATAAGCACTAACAATTTAGGTTAAGTGAAATTATTAAATCTCTGTAACTATAAATTTCAGTTAAGTCTAACGCATACAATATTTATATATGACCAGAAAATGAAAGGACAATTTTGAGGAAGAAATTGTACAAAGAACATCCATCGACAAAGTTTGTTCTAACAATTTAGGTTAAAAGAAATTATTAAATCTCTATAACTATAATTTTCAGTTAGGAATCTAAGGCATACAATATTTATATACGACCAGAAAATGAGAGGACAATTTTGACAGTCAATGTATAAACAGTTCACTATCTCATAAATCATAGCAGAAAAAGGCCAAAAGTGAGAGAGTCGTCATCAAGAACAGGTGGCTGGTGCACTCTGGTCGGAGGAACACATCCCATGCACGCAATGGGGGGCATTAATTCGTCACTGATTGCATATTTTGCATGGCAAATTTATATATTAGTAAAAGTTTTACGTAGAATATATATTCCTGTTGATTGATGGGTCCTCCATTTCTGAGAATCCTTTGTCATCTTCAGCATATTCTCTGCTCCTCGAATTGATTTAAACTGGGGTTTCTTCTGCTCAAGTATATATCGTGAAGCAGATAAAATAATGTTTCTCATATACAGCTAATTGTGTAATTTTATGATAAGATAGTTGTGATATTGATAATGGTTTTAGGTTGTTAATTAAGATGTATATATATGTATATATATATACACACATATATGTATAAATATATATACATCTATGTATATGTATATGTATATGTATATATATATGTATATAGATATATACATATGTATACATATATGTATATGTATATATATATATATATATA